CTCATCTGTGGATTCTAGAACCAAACCCTGATAAGTGGGTATGTATCCAGAAATAACTACAGGAACTGGGATAATGGAAAGGAACCAGGGAGGTAAAGGAGAAAAAGAACCTGAAAGAGAAGAACAGTAGGAAACAGGCCTTAATAAGGGAGATATGGATAAAAATTGAGTTAGTTTAAGGGAGGGGGGAGGGAAGGGTATACAAGGAACGTAGGGAATAAAGGGAAAGAAGGAGCTCAAGAGAGGAGCTAGGAGAATGGTATTAAGGGAGAAATGGGAAAATGGGGGACTTTAAATGGGGAAATCACGGTGGAAGTGTTAGATAATGTGAGAGATAAATAATGCCTAGCTAGTTTAAAAAAACCAGAGGGAACCATATTAATCAAACAACCTAATGACAAATTATACATAAAACTAGCTCAAGGAATATAATACATGTCTAGGCAAGTTTTTTCTTTTTACAGTATATATCTTTTTTGAATTTTTGTGCATTTCATACAATGTATCTTAATCATATTTAGACCCCCCTCCTCCATCTGAAACCCTGATAGCCACCACCTGATTTCATGAATCATATGCTATATATGTCATACACATTTAAAAAAAATTACAAAAACTTTATTGAGAATTTCATACATGCATATAAGGTGTTTTGATCAAATCCATGCCCACTCCCTCCCCTCCAACATTCTCCCCTCTGAAGAGGTAACCCTAAAATCTTTTAAGGATTAGATACAAGCTCCCAAATATTTTTGACATTTTTGGCCTTGGAACAGAGTATGTTGCTAAGAGGCCCAAGGACATTTTGACTTTTAGCCAATAAACTGGCTATATTTCTTTGGGTTTTTTTTTACCCTAACTGCCTAGCCAATTCCTACCTCCTTTTCATATCTCGCCATCCTCTGAAGGGGTTACCCAAATTGCCAATAGGGAATAGGGACGCTGACCGCTCTGGCTTCTTCCATGCTGAACAGGGACGCAGGGTGAGGCAATTGGAGTACCCCTTCAGTGGGTCTATCTAAAAGACTCCCAAATTGCATAACTCTTGTCTCTAAGGGGAGAAGAAAGTCATGATATTGAATCATGAATGGGAGATGTGAAGGAGAAGTAAAGACAAGAGTAATTAGCATTACAAGTTCCAGACAGGGAACTAGAAAAAAGTCAGAATAGGGCAATTTTCAAATGTTCATATGAAAGTCCATTGGAGTTTTTTGACAAGGGCTCCCAAAAGCATCCCTCCATTGGGTTCCTCCTCATTTTCCTTTTGTCTTCCAAGGCTGGACTAGTTGGCTGGGAAGAGTGGCTGGATACTCAGGTAAGGGTCCAGTGACCCTGCCGGGCCCTCCTTTAATGAATGAGCACAACAGTCAACAAGCCCAATTGTGATTATGTTTAGCGATCAGGCTCAGCCAAAGTCATGATGATGGTAGTTATCATCCCACATTTCTTGAGCTCCCTTTTTTCCCCTTTCCCCAAGGTTCCCTACCCCCTCCCATTTAAATAACGGTGTTTTTATCCATGTTTCCCACTGTTCTCAGATTCTTTCTTTTCCTTTACATCCCTGATTCATTTTCATTATCCTACTTCCTGTACTTATGTCTGGATACATACTCATTTATAAGGATTTGGTACTAGGATCCACATATGAAGAACATATGTCATTTGTTTTTCTGAGTCTGTGTTACTTCACTTAGTATAACACTTTCTAGATCCATCCATTCACCTGCAAATTTCATTATTTCATCTTTCTTTACTGCTGAATAGAACTCCATTGTGTAAATATACCACATTTTTGTTAACCACTTGTCACTTGAGGGGCACTTAGGTTGCTTCCATCTCCCAGCTTCTATGAAAAGAGCAGCAACAAACATGGTTGTACAAGCGTCTCTACAATAGGATGAATCCTTTGGGTATGTGCCAAGGAGTGGTATAACTGGGTCATATGGTAGATTCATTTTTAGTTTCTTAAGAGTTCTCCACGCTGTTTTCCATAGAGGCTGTGCAAGTTTGCAATCCCACCAGCAGTGAATGAGCGTTCCCCTTTCTCCACATCCTCGTCAGCATTTGGTATCATTTGTTCTCTTGATCCTAGACAGTCTGATTGGGGTAAGGTGAAGCCTTAGGGTGGTTTTAATTCACATTTCCCTAATTACTAATGAAGTTGAACACTTTTTGAGATGTTTCTTAGCCATCTTTATTTCTTCCTTTGAGAACCCTCTGTTTATATCTTTAGCCCATCTTTGTTTATTCTTTATGTATTCTGATGTTAAACCTCTGTCAGATGTGTCATTGGTGAAGATTTTTTCCCTTTCTGTGGGTTTTCTCTTCACTTTTTTGATTGTTTCTTTTGCTGTACAGAAGGGTGAGATGGGTTTCTTGAAGATAGCAAAGAGATGGATTTTGTTTCTTAATCCATTTGCTTAGCCTGAGAGACCCTGGATCCCGCCTCCATGTGGTGAAGGAAGCCTGAGTGTACCTGACTGGAACCTAAATTGGGCTTCTGTGGGTACCCCTGAAAAGCTGAGCTGAACCATCAGTTCCCTCTGAATAAAACCTGAGAGAACCTGAACCCTGTACCAACCAGCTTTACATTACCAATAAAGAAAGGACCTAGGCACCCAGATAATACAAACAGAAGCATACTTCAACTTAATTTTCAAATCTGAATCATAAATAACAAAAGAAATTCACATGCCAAAACCACAATGAAAGAATAATAAAATGGAAAAGCAAAACACTATGTCCCCAGCAAAGCCCACCGATCCTGTAGAAAAGTTCTACAAGGATAGCCCCCTAGAGATAACCCAGGACACTGAATTTAAAAGAGCAACCATAAACATGATCAAGGAATTCAACGAAATGAAAGAACACATGAACAAACAAATCAAAAAGCTAAAAGAAGATAGGGATAA